GCCGGGGCTGGTCGGGGGGGGGCGGGGCCCCCCCCCCTGCCAGGCCCCTTGGCCGGCCCCGGCCAAACCCCCGCTGTCCTGAATCAGCGCCTGCCCGCGCCTCTCCTCCTGCCCCCAGCGACCCCCTTCTCCGCCCCCAGCCCACGGCCCGTCACCCCCGCGGGCACGCCCCAGCCACTGTCCCGGGCAGCCGGCAGGCAGGAGCGTGCTGGCAGTCCACACCGCCCAGCCTGGGTTCGCTTCCATGTAGCTCCATCCAGTTCACACCCACCCGGGGACCTGCTCCGTCCCCTCTTCCCAGTTTAAAAAACACATCCGAGCGGCTTCTTGCGGTATGAAATGGCTCGGATCCGGAGCAGGGTTTACGCGAGCTGCTTCAGGTTCTGCGAGGGCTTCTGCTGGCGGCCAGAGGGTTTCGGGAGGGTCTGGTCTCGGAGAGAGGCGAGCGGTCTGCGCCGACGAAGGCTGCCCTGTGTGACAGCGCCAGGCCGAGGCGTCTGCGGGTATGGCGGAGACGGCGGGTACTGAGCGGGGCACTTTTGGTATTTCAGGGGCCGGTGACCTTGGAGGAGGCGGCTGCGTACTTCGCCATGGATCAGTGGGCTGCTGGGGACCCCGGGAAGGCTCTGTACAAGGACGATGCGCAGGAGAATTATGACACCCTGGTGACTCTGAGTAAGTATCCCATGGACGCTGTGGGGTCTTCGAAGCTGCCAGGTTAACTACTGACTGGGTTTCTTCCTCGGTCCCTTCAACACACCTTGGCACAGAACGAGGAGGAGGAGGAGGATGGCTGTGGGTCTGCAAAGGACAGGTGTCCCTCGCAGACATCTGGGTGGGAGACACAGCACAAGGAGAAGCTCCCACAGGAAAAGCAGAGACAAGAGGGATGTCCAAGCAACCGTGAGGGTGAGGAGATGGAGCGAATGTCTAACCAATGCCAATACTGCCTGCTTTTTCTCTCAAGAGCGAAAAGCAGAGGTCCTGAATGTGATGAGGTCTCTCTGGTGGATCAAGGGGCCATGTCATGTGTTACTGCTCTTAATGAATGGGCTGATCCTAAGAAGTGAGGGAGGAGTTGAATCGGCTCAGAAATCATCCACAAGAGAAAAGTAGCTGGGACTCCTACAGGGGCCCTCCAAGCGTTCAGTTGTGGCTGGGCACACCTAGGTTGGGATTGCCCCCAGTACACACCTGTCTTTTTTCTCTTGAGTATTCAGGGGGGAGATGGAGCTGGACTTGGTCCCTTCCTCTCTCCCCTAGGAAAAGGGACTGGGAGATTCAGCTCCTTTTTTCTGGCATGTCCCCGAGAGTCACTTGGGGTTGTTCTCCCCACACTCCTGGTTCCCTTCTGCCTGGTGGAGAGAAGGGGAAGGCCTCATGTCTGCATTCGCGAACCTCCTGCTAAGGCTCTGGCTGCACTGCTCCATAAACCTTTTCATTTACACCTTCCCCATCCGTGTCCCCACCAAGTCCAAGGACCTCCCGGTCAGTCTCTTCCAGGCTCTAGCTAAGCTAGCCAGCTACCTGACTGGAAGGTGGCTGTGGCCAGGGGGACCCCTGGGGACTGTAGGCGCATCTTCCAGCCCATCATCCATTCACGTCTCTGGGCCAAGTTTCACTGGGTAATGTCCACTGGCTCCTTGGACTCGTTTACAGGTCAGTAGGTGCTGGCCAGTGTGCTCTGCTTGGTGTCCCCCCTTGGACCACTTGTTACTTAACCTTTGATTCCCCACTCCTTTTCCCATTTTCATATTTATCCCAAAAAATCAATTATTGTGTCCCCAGTAGCTTCCCTAATGAAGGGAGGCTTAATGTTTCCTGGTAGGCCTAGGCCCACTGAAACATGGGACAACAAATAGTCCTGTCTGGATTCTTTCTTTCCGTCCGAACAGGTGATGGTACAGCGAGTGAGAATGAGGAGGAGGCCCCTGAGCAGGAAGGTCCTGAAATCGTTGAGATGGACACGGCGCTGATCAGCAGGCCTGAGGAGACCATTCCTCAGAGCCCTAACACCCAGGGCCCAACCTGTGAGAGCCTGCGTTGGACAGTGGTCCAGCAGATCGACTCCCCAGGAAAGCCACGGCGGGGGGGCAAGGCCGCACCCTCCGGTGCTGCCTTCCCAAACTTCAAGAGCATCATTGTGCTGCAGAAGAGCTATGAGTGCGGCGAGTGTGGAAAGACCTTCAGCTGTAGCTCGCACTTCAGCAAGCACCGCCGCACCCACACGGGTGAGAAGCCCTACCTGTGCCTACACTGTGGCAAGAGTTTCAATGTCAGCTCCAACCTCTACCGCCACCAGCGTGCCCATGCGGCTGAGCGGGCCTGCCCACGGCCCGAGGGCCTGCCCGCCACCTCTGCTGCTCCTCCACCACGCCCCCGTGGCCTGCCCTACAAGTGCGAGGAGTGCGGCAAGAGTTTCCGGCGAAACACGGAGCTGGTGACCCACCAGCGGCTGCATACGGGGCAGCTGCCTTTCCAGTGCTCCCATTGTGGCAAGAGCTTCTCCTGGAGTTCCCACTTTGACCGGCACCAGCGCATCCACACGGGGGAGAAGCCCTACCAGTGTCCTGAGTGTGGGAAGCGCTTCAGCCGCAGCTCCCACCTGTACCGGCACCAACGCACGCATGCCGGGGGCCGCTCTTACATCTGCACGTACTGCGGGCGCAGCTTCAACAGCACCCTGCACTTCGATCGGCATCAGCGTACCCACACCGGCCAGCGCCCCTACAAGTGCACCCTGTGTGGCAAGGGCTTTAGTGATGGGCCCGCCTTGGTGAAGCACCAGCGCCTGCACCTGGGCGATGGGCCCTTCCACTGTGAGGAGTGTGGGAAGAGCTTCGGGGCGCGGGCCCAGTATGCTCGGCACCGGCGCAACCTGCATGGCGGGGGTGGGGGTGAGAAGCCCTACCGCTGTGGCGACTGCGGGAAGAGCTTCTCCTGGAGCTCCCACTGGGAGCGGCACCAACGCATTCACACTGGGGAGCGCCCTTACCAGTGTGGCGACTGCGGCAAGCGCTTCGGGCGCACCTCCCACCTGTACCGGCACCAGCGCACCCATGCTGGGGGCCAGCCCCATGTCTGTGCTGACTGCGGCAAGAGCTTCAACAGCACCCTGCACTTCCACAAGCACCGGCGTGCTCACCTGGGCGAGGCACCCTGTCACACCTGCCCCGACTGCGGCAAGGCCTTTGCTGATGGCTCAGCCCTGGCCAAGCACCGGCGCACACACACTGGCGAGCGCCCCTTCCCCTGTCCCCAGTGTGGTCGGCGCTTCAGTGTCAGCTCCCACCTCTACCGGCACCTACGCAGCCACACGGAAGAGAAGCCCCTTGAGGAGCTGCAGGAGGTGCTGCAGGAGGAGCTCACACCATACTAGGCTCAGGACCCTGGCTCAGGATGGAGGCCCCTCCACATGCCAGCAGGGGCATTAGTGGGGACACAACAGCCCTAAGCCAAGTGTTGACCCTCTGTGGGGTGCAGAGGCATCCCAAAGAAAACCAAGCAGTCCTGCTGCCATCTGGCAGGGGCCCTGATGCTACCAGGATGGGCATGGGGTATGAGCTCAAGCCAAAGCCCACAATGGTCTTGATGGACTTCAATTCAGGCCCCGAGAACGTAGATAGACATGGTAGATTAGGTAGGTAGCTTAGATAGATGGGAGGTAGAGCAGGCTGGAGCTGGTGCCAGGGGACTGGGTATGGAGGACTTCAGAGAGGGAAAACACTATTTGGCATTGGAGCCCAGAGCCTGCTTCCTTTCTTGCTCTCCCTGGAGTCACTGGGGCGGGTTCCCTTTACAGCTCACCCAGATGCAAATCAGGAGTGACCACAAGGGAGCCAATGCCCCCCTCCCTTAGCTTGGAGTGAATCGGGAGCAAGCCTAAAGGAGTCACTGGGCATGGTTCACCCCTCACCAAGTGTAAATCAGAAAGAAACTAACTGCAGTCCCTGGGACTGATTGCCGTCTTACACATTGTTGTGTAGGCCAGGAGGGACCCCACTGGAGTCCATGCAGTTACAACAGGCAGGAGACCAGGCTCCAGATGTCTAGTGAGAGGGTGCTGCTGATAAACAAGCCTCACCTGTGCAATCCTGCTCTGGACTAGAAACACATGGTTGCTGTGAGTGCAGGATGAGTGTGCCCAGCACTGCTTTCTGGAGTAAGTTTGAGACTGAGACCCTGAGAGCATTCCTGGGCATGCGCCCAACAGTGATTACAAGATCTTTTCCAGGAAGAGGCATGCATGGAGCAGGAGAATGTAGGAGGGAATTGTTCCTTTTCTGCAGGTTCAGGATCACCTCAGAAGGAGTCGTAAAAGCAAGGGTGGGAGGCAGCTGGCTGCCAGGAGTGAAGAGTTGAAGTCACTGGGGATCAGGTTAGTGGGAAGAGGACCTCGGGGATGGCACTGGAAAGTATATGGGACCCCAGGACAGAGGCACAGAGGGCTTGGGGGAGTTAGGACAGCTGTGGGAATGAGCGAGTGGGTGTGTGGGTGATAGAGAATGAGCATGGTTATGGAGTAGGCAACTAAGGAAGGAGCCAGTTCTGCTGGGGTTTATGGTATGAGAAAGGGAGATGGGACTGTTGCCTGTCCCTTTATTTCTCTGTGCCCTGTTTCCTGTTTGCACTGGAGTTTGAGAGTGGGAATAAAGGAAAATTACCTTGCATAAGAAAATATAGGACCCCTCTCAAAGCCACCTGGGAGTGGGATGTGTGAGAAGGAGCTGAGAATTTGGGTAGGTAACACTCAAAATTCGAGTAGGAGTAGGTGGAGAGCAGGTCTTGTAGTGAAAAAAATCAGTGTGGTTGATTTGTATAGCTCGTAGCCCCAGGAAATTATTGTGACAAACAACTCAGCAAAAACCTCTCCCAGCTTGATATTGCAAGCTGGGGCCTGCTGGAGGAGGGCACTGGTATCTATACTAAGTGAGTTTTGGGGTGTATGAAAAGCTGTAGAAAGAGAGGCTTGAGACCATCTTGTTCTGACCCTAATTCAGGGCACACTGGGTGAGCTCCCTGCATTCTTTTGTTCTGGGGGGAAGAGGAGGGGTGAGGTTGTTCAGCATAGGAAGCTAGTAACTCCTGAAATAAGCTATCTGATCTGAGAAGGGGGAAAGTCTTAACTTCAGGAACTGTACCCAACTTGGGGTCATTAACAGCTACTTCTTGGAAGAATCTGGGAGGGATTTTGCAGAAATACACTAAGAGGAACAAGGATTTCTTAGGCTGATACCTATTATCAGACCAACCGTGTTGTTGGGATAGAGTTAGACAAGTATTTGAATGCAAGACATTCTTCATCATCATCAGTGACCCACCTAAGAAATCTTTTTCACACAAATTTCTGGACCATCATGGCTACAACATCACTCATATGCTACTGAAATATATTGTTAGAGGCCTGGGGACAAATTCTTTGTTGTGTAAATTCACTGCAGTGGACCTCACCCATTTGTCCTCAGTGACAATTTAACCCCCTCTCTACACTAGGTTTATGCCTTGCCAATCCATGCACATTGTACTGGTTTAACTTTGCAGGTGTAGTGAGTACTAGGGCTGTGTGAAGCTTCGGTCCCTGATTCAGTTCAGCAGAGATTCGTCCCGATTCGGTGGCCGAAACATCTCCAAATCTGAATCGAATGAGAAGACTCTTTAATCTCTCTGAATCGAGTCGGAACCCTTTGAATAAATTTGGAGAGATTTGGAAACATTCAGCAATTCAGACATAGACACAGCTTTAAATGTTTTTTCTACATACCTCTAGGTAGCAGGCAGCTTGTGAGTGCTGCAATGCTGGGGGGTCTCTCAGAAGCATGGGGGGCTCCCCAGCGGTCTTGGCAGCAGACCCAGAAGTGGACCAGAAGCACTTCTGGCCCACTTCCAATCTACTGGGGAGTGTGCTGGGGGGGCCCCCCCCACGCTCCCCCAGCTCAGTGACTGGTGCCTCCTGTGTCTGGGGGGGCACCCGGGGTCCCCCTGCAGCCGATCACTGAGGGGGGGTGGGGGGGTCCTCAGCGTGCTCCCCAGCAGACCTGGAAGTGGACTGAAAGTGCTTCTGGTCCACTTTCGGAGGTCAGCTGTCAAGCGCGCTGGGGAGCCCCCTGTGCTTCTGTGGGATGCTCCATCTGCCCTAGCATCGCAGAGATCATGAGCCATGCTGCTACCTCAAGGTATGGAGAAAAAACTTTTAAGGCTGCGTGTCTGTGTCCAAATCACTGATTCTCCGAATCAGCATTGAATCTTCAGGTTCGGATTCAGCCGAATTGAATCGGAGACAGCAATCCAAATCAACTAATCAAATCACCGTCCCCAATTCTGGCTGAATCCAAATCAAATAGGGCTCGTTTTGCACACCCCTAGTGAGCGCTGTTAGTGGGAACTCACTTATATTGGTATAAAGGTGTCTTAAGAATGGCATGGTTATTCCCTGGAGGGAAGGGAGACATGCTATGCCTGTATAAGGCATTTATGTAGCAGTGTATCTGTGTCCTCACTAAGTTTTGTATGTATTTAACTATTTTGGTAGGAAAGTTCACCCTTCACCCAAACAGCTAAACTAGTAAAAAATGTGTGCACAGACAAGGCCCCATTTCTTTGAAACGCACCACTGCTGCTGTCCCTGTTTCAGCTCTAGTCTTGGTGGCAGCAGCCCTGATATGCAGAGCACCGGTGGACAACCTGACTTTAAGCCCTGTGTGGGGTAGTAGGTCAGGTCTGCACTTGCCAACAGAGCACTTAAAATGTAGGTGCATGCCTGGCATCCTGCTGAGAGTAGCACTTAGGCCATTGCCGCCATTGGTAACTGAAATGGTGCTAATGAGGAGTTTGTTGTGTTTGGCCACACAGCCTGTTGAATACACGGGCAGTGAAGCAGCAGGCCTTTTCTGTGCTGTAGATTACTGAGTCCCAGTCAAGGGCATGATTTGGGGATTGGCTCTGGTTGGATGGGTGGTCGCCTGGGTAAAGTGGAATTGTACATTCTCCTGACTGCTGGCCTTGCCCAAAAGAACCATAGTCTGAAGTTAAATGTAACTTGGAAAGGAGTTTTGCCCTGGGTTGGGGTTTTTTTGCTGCTTTTACTTGTCTTTTTCATTAGAAAATCAGGTCTTGATCACCCTGGAAAATTCTCTAGCAGTGGTTCTCAACCTTTTTTAGACTCAGGGCACCCCTTGTTGTACCCAGTCAACACCAGGGAAAAATGGTAATCTGAGTGAGAGATTCAGCATGAGAAGTAAGACTTGTTTGGTTATATCTTTTATTTGACCAATGCACTAGTTGGGAGAGATGTTTGACCAGCTTTCAGGATTCAAGGCAACATTTTCAAACATGGCTGCCAAAATGGGTATTTAGGCACATATTTAGGCACATTCATAATTATATTATTTAATATATTTATTATGTAATTATATAGGTGCCTAAAAGTGTGAATTTAGTAGCCCAGTTTTAGACACTAAGGTTTGACAGTGTTACAGTGAAACATCCAATTAGTATTTGTAAAGCCAGGTGTACACTACAAAGACTTTCTGGTATAACTGTTGGTTAAAGTATGAAAAAATGTCATATCCTTAACTGACTTGGCTATGCTGGAAAGCATGATAAGTAGCTGCAATTTATACTATCCTGAGATGCCTTTTGCCAGGATATTTAGGCAGTATATGTTATTTATGTTTAACAATACAGGAAAGGAACTCCTGTTAGGGTAGGCTATATTTCTTGGTGAGGGACTGGCTAATACACTCTACCAACAGCATCTTTATCAAGTAGACCAGCCCCTTGGGCCTGAAGAAATCCTCCAGCCTCCCCAGAGAGGATCAGGCTGGATATGCCTGGTGTTAGAAACGTGAAAAAAAAAGCATCAAAGAGAAAAATGTATTTCCAGGGGGAAAAAAACCATGCAAACCTTCATTATGCACCACAAAGAAACAACTCAAAGTTGTGAACCTGCTTTCCTTTTCCTTAATTTGGCATTGGTCTGTTGTACAATGGACCCATGCCCCAGCAGCAAGGAGGCATCTTTATAGAGACAGGCAGAGAAGCAGTTTAACTTTTAAGCTTGACCCGCCAAGCTATGTAGGCAGTTCTCAGAACAGAGTTAACTGTACATCAGCTTCACGGCTGTCCTTGCTCTCTGATCCAGCTCTGTTTGAGGTGAGCAGGAACTGTGTGTGTATTGTGAATAAAATAGACTAGAGAAAAAAATACCTCGGCTCTCTGTTATTTCTCTTGAGGAGATTCTTGATGTTTTTTTCTGATGCCTAGGTAAAGAGGGATACATTGTGAGGTCTACCAGCACAGGCCCTGGGAAATTTGCTTTTCATTCCCAGCCATGCATAAACTCCTTGGCTGGGTCTCTGGGTTCTCGGTTCCCAGTTTATATGAGGATAAAATGTCCCTTCCTCAGAGCAAGGGCCAGCTCTTCATCTGGTATAAATTGGTATCGCTGTACAAAATCAATGGAACCCTGTCAGTTATTTCAGCTGTGAACCTGTATAGACAGAGATACTTTTTTCTGATGCTGAGCTGGTATCACTTAATAGTAATCAAGGAATTGTAAAATTGGAGTTATCCAGTGGGGAACTATAACTCTTAATATCTTAACCTGATATTTGCATTTAGGGATTTCTCTATTATCATCAAGAATCTTTCAAAACTTACCACCAATTTTCTTTTGGAGATAATAGCATTGTGTTTTTCAGTATTAAATAGTTGATTTCAGTACTCACAAAACAATTTATGAATTTCATTTGCATCAAAGAAGCAATAAGCAAGCATTGTTACTAAAGACTCAATCTGATTCAGGAGCTTCTAGAGAAACTTTTTTTTTAAATCCATCAAACAGGTCTCCTCCAGATGGGATTCCTGAGATTTCATCAATATCCTAGCTTGTGCTGATTAGCTAAAGATGTCATGTAAAACCAATTTAAGTGCAAGTATATGGCTAGACAGTGCAATTTTGTTTTGAGCAACGTGCTTTGATTTAGTTCAAACTTGTTCTTAAGCAACTTACACTAACCCATAATCAACTACTTTGATATAAGAAAAAGGACCATCTGTGACTTCATGTCTCCAGATAGTAATCTTTAAATAGGCCTCTTTGCCCCTGAGTGCTATTTATACTAAGGTGTGGTCTACAAAGAGCATTGTACCCATTTTGATTAAAGATACAAATTCAAACCATCCTTCTTTAACCAGAGCAAACCTCAGTGTGGACACTCATATTTTGTCTAAGAGCAGCTTATTACAAATTTTCAGTAAGGTTTCAGTAAATGTTCTGTAAGGTTTATATCAGTTAAAGGTTTGAGGTATTCCTACAATTCCTCAATGAGCCACACACGTAGCAACTTTGCATTGATGTCTGAACTGTCCTAACAATCTTTGTTTACATATATCCATGCTTCAATATGCAAAACATGAAACATGGACACTAGAGGGCAGCTTAATTCAAGTAATGTCCCCACTTAGGTGCATGAGTTTTACCATTGGCTTCAGAGGACATATACATTTGTGTGCTGAAGGACCTTGCTCAGTTGCAGCCTAAAAAAAAATCCAGCTGACATACAGGTCAGCAGACTGATCGTCTTACTTATACGTACCTCCTGCATAACAAGTGTCACAGAATTTCAGTCTGTGCCTTCTGCATCAAGCTTATACTAGTAATTATTGGTTGAGTTAGAATGCAACCTGCTTTGACTTCCTACGAGGAAGTACATAAAACCTCTTGACTTAATTCTTGTTTGAACAGGTGCCTATATTGAAGAAAATCACCTAATCTTGATTTTAAAAATCTGTGATAATAGAGCATCCACGATTGCCATAGGTCTTCCAGTGGGTAATAACACTCATGTTTAAAAATGTACACCTTATTTCTAGTTTGAAATGGTCTGATTTTGGCTACCTGTCATTCAGGGGCCAAGAATGCTGAAAATGCTGACAAGATGGACTCCAGAGGGAAGCAAACGATTTGAGAAAGGTGTGGTTGTTGTCAGCTGCTGGCATGACACAGGGCAAAGTAGGCTAATGCAATCTTTGTATACGCAGGCTGGGAAATACTGAATAGAAGTGGAGAAGTTATTTTCTCTCTGTTTGTACCACTGGAATAGTGTGTCTACTTCTGGATCCAGAATTATGGAAGGATGTTAATAACATTGAGAGCAGGTCCATAGACTCCAGATGCCTGAATTAGAAAAGTAGCAAGCAGTATTGGCAATCCCACATGTTCTGGATTCATATATCAGTCTGCCTCTCCCCCCAGAAGTCATGCAGGTGGGCTTAAAAATAAGAAGTAAAATACATTCTAGGAGGAAGGTCCTATTTGTCTTCTGGTGCTGAAGCCTTCAGGGTTAATGCTTTCAATCTTTTCTATTCAACCACAAGGAACAGAAAGTAGGCCCTATCCCTTAAAACAATCCTCTCCCTCGTTGAACCCACATAGATTTAATAGATTTTCATAGATTTTTAGGGTTTGGAAGGGACCTATTTGATCATCAAGTCCACCCCCCTGCCCTGGGCAGGAAGGAGTGCTGGGGTCCAATGACCCCAGCCAGGTGTTTGTCCAATCTCCACTTAAATACCTCCAAAGAAGGGGACAGCACCACCTGCCTTGGAAGTGTATTCCATATTTTGACAACCCTCATAGTGAAGAATTTTTTCCTGACATCCAATCTAAATTCGC